TCATGGTCGCACTCTGGTTGAAGGAGTCCAGGTGGATTTCCGGATCTTCCTTCCCGGTGAATCTGGGGGCGTCGATCTTGACCTTTCGCGGGAAAGGTGTCAGATGGACCCTTGTGGTGAACGGGGACCCTGCCAGGGGTTTGTCCCGGTCATTCTTCTCCCCGACCTTCTTTTCCAGCCTTTCCAGCTTTGCCTCCATTTGCTGGACGCGGTCGTTTGGGATGGTTAACCGGTTCGCCACCGGTAACCTGGACTGGCTTTCTGCCTCCCCTTCATGGTGGGAGGCCCTCGTCCTCGCTGGCTCCTGCCGATTAGACCGGGAGCGCCGGGTGCGGGCAGGCTCGGCCTCCCGCACCTCGCCTAGCCGGGCGAATGCGCTGACATGGGCAACACTCTGCCCCAGCCTCTGCTTGGCTGACTTCCTCTGGCCTTCCTCCCTACCCCCCAGCCTTTCGAAGGCGGAGTTTCGGGAGGTCGCTGGCCGGATGTTTTTTCCTTTCTTCTTCTTGTGGGCCCTCGGGATGTCCCACTCGCCGTCATCGCTCTCAATCGAGACGCAATGACCATCAGGAGTGACCTGTGGATCCGTAGCTTGCGGGGGACGCGACGGCCCTGCAGCGTTAAGTGCACCGACCAAGTTGACCGGGGCCATGGTGCTGACCAGCTGGGGCTGGAAAGGTGATGGTTGCGGCATCGGCGTCTGGAACGACGTCACCGCCATCGGAGCTTGTAGAGGCATCGTCCCCGCGCCTGGAAGGGCGAATGGGAACATACCAGGGAGGAAAGGCATCCCCCCGTTCTGTTGGCACATGGCCATGACCTGGCCAAAGCCCTGGATGGCGTGTAGGTTGGCTGGGTCATTCATGAACTGCGTCATGCTTGGTGGGAACGTTACCCTCGGTCCAGCAAATGGGACGGGGGTCGCGAAGGGACTAATCACGCTGGCCGTTGGGACAGAGCTCAGACCCAAAGGCAACACCGGGGCTGAAATGACCGGTATGGTAGCAGCCACAGGGATGCTGGCTCCCTCGTTGGTGGCCTGTACCTGAGCGGTAGCGTTGATTTGTTGGCTGGAAGACATTTCGAGTGGTGTTTTGGTGGGTAGGTTTGTGTTTAGGAGAAGAAACCTTAATGGTCCCACGGGTGGCGCCAAAAATGATGGTGTAAATTACTTGACCGGTCAAACTATACTAGACCGGGTCTAGAATAGTTCGCTTGATTTGGCAAAGTAAGAAAGGGAAAAACACGCAAATTGACCGGTAGGACTTTAGGTGGAACACCTGTAGCCCGATTTATACTATAACGGAGAATGCACGGGTGCTTTTACAAGGGAGTTTAGAGAGAGTCAATTCGGATCCCTCTTTCTGAGGTTTACATGAGTATTTATACTAGGCTAAGGGGACAGGACCACGTGCGCCCACGTGGAGGCACGTGTCTC